TGCACCATGATCAAGTAGGATTTATTCCAGGAATCCATGGCTGATACAATATTCGCAAATCAATAAACGTGATACATCACATAAACAAACTGAAAGACAAAAATCACATGATTATATCAATATATGCAGAAAAAGCTTTCGACAAAATCCAACACCCATCCTATATAATAAAAGCCTAATATGCAAATCGACCAACTGGTGGAACGACTGGTCTGTATGAGGCACACTGACCACCAGGAGGCAGATGCTCAATGCAGGAGCTGCCTCCAGCCCAGAGGCCTCAAGCCGGCTGGTGAGTAGGCCAGCACCACCCCCCTATCGCGGGCCAGGCCTAGGGACCCTACCCACGCATGAATTTTGTGCACCGGTCCTATAGTTTTTGATAAAAATTCTCAACAAAATGGGACTAGAGGGAGCCTATCTCAACATGATAACGGCCATATATGACAAACCTACAGCGAACATCATACTCAATGGGCAAAAACTAAAACCCTTTCCCCTAAGAACAGGAACAAGACAGGGGATGTCCTCTTTCACCACTCTTATTCAGCATAGTACTGGAAGTCCTAGCCACCATGATCAGACAAGAAGTAGAAATAAAAGACATCCAAATTGGAAAAGAAGAAGTTAAACTGTCATTATTCATAGATGACATGATATTGTACATAGAAAACCCCAAAGACTTCAACAAAAAACTACTAGACTTAATAAATGAATTTGGCAATGTAGCAGGATACAAAATCCACACCCAGAAATCTATGGGTTTTTTATACAACAATAATGAACTTATAGAAAGAGAAACTAAAAAAAAAAAAAAAAAAAAAAATCCCATTTACCATTGCAATAAAAAAAATTGAGATACCTAGGAATAAACTTAACCAAAGAGGTAAAAAACTTGTACTCAGAAAACTACAGGATGTTGAGAAGAGAGAGAGGTAGATATAAACAAATGGAAGAACATACCATGTTCATGGATTGGTAGAATCAACATCATTAAAATGCCCATACTACCCAAAGCAATCTACAGATTTGATGCAATCCCTGTTAAAATACGAACAGCATATTTCACAAAGCTAGAACAAATACTCCAAAAAATTACATGGAATCAAAAAAGACCCCAAATAGCTGCAGCAATTTTGATAAGGAATAACAAAGTTGGAGGAATCACAATACCAGATATTAAGTTATACTATAAAGCCTCCGTAATCAAAACTGCCTGGTACTGGCACAAGAATTGGCATATTGATCAATGGAACAGAACAGAGACCACAAACATCAATCCAAGCCATTACGCTCAATTAATATTTGACAAAGGAAGCAAGAGCATACAGTGGAGTCGAGATAGTCTCCTCAATAAATGGTGCTGGAAATATTGGATAGATACATGCAAAAAAATGAAACTAGATCACCAACTTACCCCATACACAGGAATAAACTCAAAATGGATAAAAGACTTAAGTGTAAGTCATGAAACCATAAAAATCCTAGAAGAAACCATAGGCAGCAAAATCTCAGACATCTCTCATAGCAATATGTTTACAGATACCTCTCCTAGGGCAAAGGAAACTAAGGAGAAAACAAATGGGACTACGTCAAAATAAAAAGCTTCTGCAGAGCAAAAGAAACCATCAGCAAAATGAAAAGGGAGCCCACTGCATGGGGGAACAAATTTGGCAACGATACATCTGATAAAGGGTTAATATCCAAAATACATAAGGAATTCATACAACTTAACAAAAGGAAGACAGACAATCCAATTAAAAGTGGCCAAGAGACATATGAAAAAATGCTCAAAGTCACTAATCATCGGAGAGATACAAATCAAAACAACAATGAGGTACCACATCACACCTGTCAGAATAACTACCATCAACAAATCAACAAATGGCAAGTGCTGGCGAGAATGTGGAGACAAGGGAACCCTAGTACTCTTCTGGTGGGAATGCAGACTGATGCAGCCACTACAGAAAACAGTATGGAGTTTCCTCAAAAAATTAAATATGGATCTGCCATTTGACCCAGTGATCCCACTTCTAGGAATATATTTATTCTAAGAAACCTGAAGTTCCGATCAGAAAGGATATATGCACCCCTATGTTCCTAGCAGCACAGTTTACAATAGCTAAGATCTGGAAACAGCCCAAGTGCCCATCAGCAGGTGAGTGGATAAAGAAGCTGTGGTACATCTACACCAGGGAACACTATGCAGCAGTAAAAGAGAAGGCTCTCTTACCCTTTGGGACAGCACGGAGGGGCCTGGAAAGTTTCATGCTAAGTGAAATAAGTCAGAGAAAGACAAGTATGACATGATCGCACTCATATGGGGAACCTAAGTAACAAAATAAACTGATGAACGGAATGGACCCAGAGGCATGGAAGCAGGGAAGGAGGCGGAATCTCAGAGGGAAGGAGGGGGTGGGTGGGTGGGTGGGAGGTAATCAACCAAAGACCTTGAATGCATGCATGCATGGCCCATGGACACAGACAATAAGGTGCTGAAGGCCTGGGGTGGGGAGGGAGAGGATGGTGGTGGGCGGGAGGGGGTTAATTGGGGAAGAAGGGGACAAATGTAATACTTTCAACAATAAAGAATTACTTTAAAAAGATTCACGATTAACTAATTGCTCTTGGACCAGGAGCCAGAATCAGCCTCTGAATTGCGTTGTCTGCTTCTGCCTGGGCGCCCCTCACTCTGAGGACCACACCTGCCAGGAGGGAGGCCCAGAGGCAGAGCTGTTGCTGCGTCCTGGGCTAGATGGAGGGGTGGCCAGGGCTTTGTCAACATGAGTCAGTCGGTGGTTTAAAGAAACTCGTCTGTGTGTCCCGAGGGCAAGTGGTACAAGGTCAGTCTCCAAAGTCACCAGTTCCGTGCTTCCTGAGCTCCGGCTTCTCCGCAGTCGCTGGGAGCCGCCCTGCAGTCTGCGCGCCCCTCCTGCTCTGAAGACGCCTTAGCGGCCGCAGCAGCCTGGCCCACAGCTGGGAGCCCACAGCTGCTCTGGGTCACTAAGAGAAAGTGGGTTTTGGACAGAAGACTTGATCCATGGCCACGTTCTTTCCGGGCTTATGTAAAGCCAACCAGGATTTGTACAGAAATGATGCTTTCAGAGAACAAACAGTCAATGCCAAACCACAGCCAGACCTGGCGCTGGAAAAGGCTGCCTGTCCCACTCTCGGGCTCTGCATCATGCTGGCTGCCTGGCACCAGGCCTGGCCCGCGAGGTGAGCGCTGCAGTGCGGCCAGGGGATGGAGGCCTCTCTGTCGGGGCCCAAGGCTTACTCACTGCTCAGGCCTGGGCGGCAGGCGGCCAGTGGCCCGGGACACCGCCCTGTCCGCGACAGGTGGGCCCTCCTGGCCACCTTCAGGTATCTTCCCCCCAAAAGGCTCTGACACAGACTCCTGCGCCATTTCTGAGACTGGCATGCTCTGGCCTCGATGCCAAGAGGCCTCAGGAGCCACCTGGCTTGGAAGCAGCCGGCCAGCCTCGGGTCACACCCAGAGCGCGGCCTGGAGTGCTGCTCCGCGCGGATCCCAGTGCAGAGCGTCCTGCACACGACACCAGAGAGCAGAGCAGAATCCAGGGTGTGAGAAGCACAGGGTTCACGGTCACCCCACAGGGCGGGGCTCCTGGCGCCTCCCAGCCTGGGCGCTGCTTCAGCTGTCACTCTTCGGCTGTCACTCATCAGCTGTCACTCATCGGCTGTCACTCATCAGCTGTCACTCTTCGGCTGTCACTCATCAGCTGTCACTCTTCGGCTGTCACTCTTCGGCTGTCACTCATCAGCTGTCGCTCTTTGGCTGTCACTCATCAGCTGTCACTCATAGGCTGTCACTCATCAGCTGTCACTCATTGGCTGTCACTCATCAGCTGTCGCTCTTCGGCTGTCACTCATCAGCTGTCACTCTTTGGCTATCACTCATCAGCTGTCACTCTTCGGCTGTCACTCATCAGCTGTCGCTCTTTGGCTGTCACTCATCAGCTGTCACTCATCGGCTGTCACTCATCAGCTGTCACTCATTGGCTGTCACTCATCAGCTGTCGCTCATCGGCTATCACTCATCAGCTGTCACTCTTCGGCTGTCACTCATTGGTGGTCACTCATTGGCTGGTGAGGGGACTGTGGTGTCGCCACGGGGGTTGAAGGTGGGGTCACCGGGTGGTCACAGCTGACCCAAAGCTAGATCACCCCAAGTGCGAGTAGTCTGAGACTCAGGTGTAGAGTGACAGCCACAATTGAGGTAAAGGAACGGCAGTCCAAGGTGGTGCGTGTTGGGGGCGGGGTCAGAGAAGCGTGTGCTGAGCCCCTGCCTGAGCCCGGACTCCCCTCTGTCTCTGAGAGGCAGAGAGCGGACTCCCCTGTCACAGTGCGGGATCCGCCTTCCCCACGCCTGCGTACATCCCCCAGGCTTGGCATCGGCTCCCCTGAGTCCCTCCTCTCCTGGCCGTCCCTGGTCCCACCTCTTCAGGTTCCAGGAGGAGATTAAATAGCAAAACAAGGGAGAAGGCGGCACCAGGGGCGCCGGGTGCAGGCTCCCCAAAGCTGAGCGCTGCCTGCGTGCTCCCGGGCCTTGGGGTCTGGGGCTCCGCTTCTGCTGCTGCTCAGCTCCCTGGCACCGCAGCCTGGCGTGCAGGGCTCCGGGCCCTGTCTCCAGCAGAGAGCCTAGTCAGCAAAGGGTTCCCGAGAGTGTGGGCCAACCCTCTGCTACCCTGGAGGAGGCGTTGGTGTTGGCCGAGTCGGAGTGGGGTGTTTGCTCTGTCCCTTCCGCTGGCCGATGGTGCCGGGACTGAGGTGGCCTGTGTGCTGTCTGGAGTGTCCCAGGAAGGGACGGCCACGCTTCCCTGTGGGAGTGTGCACGTCCGAGCACCTTAGGTTTCGTCTCTCTCCTTGGCTGGCCCAGCTGCCGGCCACCTGTCCCTTGGACGTCCTGCTCCTACCCCAACCCCCTGTGTCCTCACCAAGGGTCGCTGCATCCTTTGCCTATGTCTCCTCTCTTCCCGCAGAGCCAAGCCATGCGGATCGTCCGGACAGTGGGGCAGGCCTTCGAGGTGTGCCACAAGCTGAGCCTGCAGCACACGCAGCAGAGCGCCGACGGCCAGGAGGACGGGGACAGCGAGTGGCACAGCCACAGCTCCGGGGACCCAGGTAGGCCGTCGCCACCGGGATTGGCAGGCAGGCAGACGCAGGCAGCCCCGCCGTCTCGAACCTAAAATGCTTACTTTCCCTACTTCTCTCTAGATTCCAAATTTTCCTTAAGGAGCATGTACTCTTGTAGCAGACAGTTGATGTGTTTAAACTGTCAAACAAGGAAGCCTTTAAGCGCAACATCAGGAACCACATTTTATTTTATTTTTTTTAAATATATTTTATTGATTTTTTTCCCAGAGAGGAAGGGAGAGGGTTAGAGAGTTAGAAACATCGATGAGAGAGAAACATCGATCAGCTGCCTCCTGCACACTCCCTACTGGGTATATGCCCGCAACCAAGGTACATGCCCTTGACCGGAATCGAACCTGGGACCTGAGTGCTGTCTGGAGTGTCCCAGGAAGGGACAGCCGCGCTTCCCTGTGGGAGTGTGCACGTCCGAGTGGCACATCCACAGGCCGATGCTCTATCCACTGAGCCAAACCGGTCAGGCAGGAACCACATTTTAAAGGCAGGGCTGCTGCTGCCAAATCTGACTCCCAAGACCATTCTGCTCCCATCGGGGGTAGAGCTGACCGCTGCCACGGGGCTTCTGCTCCTCTTTCTGAATTCCTCCGTCCGGGGAACCTCAGTGCGGACATTTTCCTGATAGCTTCCATTTTTTATCTGGAAGACAGACTGAAACAATTAGAAATAATAACTCCTCTTTGGTGGTAATTTCCTCAAATCACAGGACTGTACATGAGACTCAGCTAATGGCATTTTCTGAATCCCACTGCCCCTGGGGAGCATGTCACTGACTTTCTCCGTGTGGACATTTCCTGTCCATTTTAGGAAAACCCGTCAGGCCCAGTGCGGTTCCTGCAGTTTAGGATGAGAAGCAAAGCGCTGAGTGGGGCTCTCCCAGGAGGCCAGGCCGGGGTCAGGCGGATCGGCGGTGCTCCCTGCATGTCACATGGGCTTCTGCGACGACAGGAAGTGGCAGGGCCCTCCTGTCCCTGTGCAGATGTAGGTGTGGCCTGTGGGGTGATGTGAGTTGTATCATCAGGCGACGCACACAGGTTCATGTCAAGGGGGGCAGGTGCTGCGGTGTGGAGAGCCCGCGTGTGCAGGCAGCCTGGAGACTGGGCGGAGCTGCAGTTCGAGGCCAAAGGTGGTCTCCCTCCTCCTCTCGGGAGGTGGGCTTTGTTCCCCTGAGACCTCCACCTGATTGGGTGAGACCCACCCACCCCAAATGGGGTAACCGGCGTGACTCCCCGTCCGCTGACTTACACGTTAACCTCTCCTGAGAAACACCTTCTCAGCAACATCGGATAATGCTGGTTCAAAGCCACGCTGGCACACATCGCTAACCGTCACACAAGTGACACGCCGACGGTGTGGGGGGTGCGGGGCTGGCAGCCCACAGGGGCAGCTGAGCCTGGGCCCTGACACTTCTCAGTGGGCGATCACGTAAGCTTCCCTACTCTCTCTGGATCTTTCTTTCCTCATCTGCCGGGGGTTGTGAGACGATGCGTGTAAGTCAGCATCGTGCCAGCGAATAGCAGTGCGAACACGCACCAGCTGTTGGCGGCTTCCCCGTTCTGAGTGTGACCTACAGGACCTCTGCAGGAGGGCGCCCCTGGCCCGGGGCTGGCTGCGCAGTGCTTCACGGGGCGCCTCCAGGCAGGGCCCCGGCCGGGAGCGGGCCTGCTTCGAGTGTCGTGTTGGGGATACTGCCTGCCTTGGCGAGGAAGGCTGCCTCCTGCCTCCCGGTCACACATTTTGTGGCCGCACTTGCCTTGTTCCTGCCCACAGCCGTCTGGGGACACTCTCCTCTCTGTAAGCGCCCTCCCGGCGCATTGCCGACTCCGCCGGGTCCTCCGTGCTGTGGGCACCCCACACTCCAGCTGACCTGTTGGCGGAATGAGAGGCTCGTTTTTGTAAAGAATCTCCCTCCCACGTCAGGGAGCTTTCCAGCAGGGGGTCCCTTCCAGAGGAGGGGGCCGCCGTGGGAGCGGGCAGTGCGCCCCGCTGTCTGGGGCCTGTCGGCGTCCCTCTGGGCCTCCACAGGGCTTGGGCATGTGTCCTCGATCACTGTGTGTCCTCTCCTCCCCATCCTGCCCCCCCGTCCCGACCCGGGGCCGATTGCCAGTCCCGGGGCTGGGGGCCAGGGGCCGCTCTGCCCCGAGGGTTTCCTTGACTCCCAAGAGGGTTTCCTGGGAGAGGCCCCGTTCCCGGGGAGGCAGCCCGCCTCCCAGCAGCAGCCAGCCCCCCTGGGGAAGAAGAGAGCTTCCGGAAGATACCCTCGCCATCCCGATGGCTATTTATTGTACCTGTTACCTCTGCTGGACCTGGGCATCCTGCTCACCTGTGTCCCTGTCACCTGTGCCCCCCGGACCTGTTCCTCTCCCCGACACCTGCACCCCATATCTGTTCCTCTTCCCCACACACCTGTTGTTCTTCTCACACACCTGTTCCTCTCCCCACACACCTGTTCCTCTCCCCCACACACCTGTTCCTCTCCCCACACATCTGTTGTTCTTCTCACACACCTGTTCCTCTCCCCACACACCTGTACCTCTCCCCACACACCTGTTCCTCTCCCCACACACCTGTTCCTCTCCCCACACACCTGTTCCTCTCCCCACACACCTGTTCCTCTCCCCCACACACCTGTTGTTCTTCTCACACACCTGTTCCTCTCCCCACACACCTGTACCTCTCCCCACACACCTGTACCTCTCCCCACACACCTGTTCCTCTCCCCACACACCTGTACCTCTCCCCACACACCTGTACCTCTCCCCACACACCTGTTCCTCTCCCCACACACCTGTACCTCTCCCCACACACCTGTACCTCTCCCCACACACCTGTACCTCTCCCCACACACCTGTTCCTCTCCCCACACACCTGTACCTCTCCCCACACACCTGTACCTCTCCCCACACACCTGTACCTCTCCCCACACACCTGTTCCTCTCCCCACACACCTGTTCCTCTCCCCACACACCTGTTGTTCTTCTCACACACCTGTTCCTCTCCCCACACACCTGTACCTCTCCCCACACACCTGTACCTCTCCCCACACACCTGTTCCTCTCCCCACACACCTGTTGTTCTTCTCACACACCTGTTCCTCTTCCCCACACACCTGTTCGTTCCCCCACACCTGTGCCCTATATCTGTTCCTCTCCCCCACACACCTGTTCGTCCCCCCACACACCTATTTCTCTACCCCATACACCTGTTCCTCTACCCCACACAGCTGCTCCTCCCCCCCACACACACACCTGTTCTTCCCCCACACCTGTGCCTCTCCTCACACACCTATGCTCCCACACTTGTCCCTTTCTCCCACACTTGTGCCTCCCCCTACATCTGCTCTCCCACACCTGCGCCCCACCTCATCAGACCACCACTGCCTGATCATTGGTTTCTCCTTATTCCAGTGCCTTCCTTCATTGGACAGATGTTTGTCCAGTCCCCCGATGAGCCAGGCTCGATTCTGGGACACTGTAAGCGAGACAATGGGCCCTGTTGGCAAGGAACTCACAGTCAGAGTTGGGTAGGGACACAAACCAGTGACCGATCAAACTCGATCATTTTGGTTTGTGTAGACAAGCGGGTGAGGTGGGCCAGGGCAGGTGGACTCCGGGCAGGAGGCAGACGGTGCCCTGGTTCAAGGCACCAAGCCTGGAGCCAGGCTGGCGGCTTTGAGCCCTAGCCTTAGCAGCTGTGTGCCTCAGTTTCTTTATCTGTTAAATGGGGGTAATGACAGTGCTTGCCTCTTAGGTTGGTTATGAGGGTAAATGAGGTAATACATGTAAAACCCTTAAATTTAGTACATAGAACATAGTACGTGCCATTTTAGCAGTAATACTGCAATTTTGAGGCAAAAAGTAGCCATTTCAAGCGCTTTTGGACTGAGCTGATCACCTCTTGTTTGTACGATGCGAAAGAATGGCGTCTCTTGGTATTGCTGCCTGCTTCAGTCCTTCATGAAGACCCCATCCTTGCTGGGCCCCTCCCCACAGGCCGTTTGCAGTCCTGTGTGCCATGCCACCCGAGCCCCTTCCCCTCCTCACCACCTGAGCCGCTCGCTGGCTCTCCCCGCAGGGCTGCTGCCTCTGCCCTCTGCCCCGCCCACGCCTCCTCTTCCTCTCACGAGTGACACAGCCTCCTGCGGGCTCTGGCTTGTGTCTGCTGCTCCGTCCGGTGCAGTGAGAGCTCGGACTTCGCTTCCTCGTCTCGGTCCCGTAGGCTCTGTCAGATCCATCCAGGCTGCTTCCTAAGTCCTGTCTAATGGGTGACTGAACGCAGCCTGCCTCACGGCTCTCTTGCCCTTCGGGGCCTCTGCCCTGGGGCAAGGTCAGAGCAGGCTCTGGGGGCCGGCCTTGAGCCTCCCTGTCCTATTCCACAGTCACGCAACCCCTCCATCCAACTGGGCCTGACAGCCCCGGTGAGGCTGGGAGGCCCGCGCCCTGAGCTGATGCCCCCCTGAGCTGGAATGAGGTTGACAGGACTCACCCCTCTCCCAGGGTCCCCACACCCTGTCAGCAGAGACATCACGTCCAGGATGGAGGAAATGCCGTCTTTGTTCCTAGACTTTAAAAATAGACCCTGTCTCACTGGGTTGGGAGCAGATGGACTTGCCTGGAAACAGGTGAGGATGTTGGGCAGCTATGGTGTTTCCTGGCGTGACACAGCGACACTGCTGTGTCCCACCCCTTCCCGCCTTCCCTGTTGCCCTGCAGGCCGCCAGCTCCCTGGAGCCGAGAGGGCCTCGCCAGCTACTGCGGAGGAGACGGACATCGACGCCGTGGAGGTCCCCGTCCCGGGTAGCGACGGCCTTGACTTCAGCCGCGGGGTGACCGACCTGGATGCCGTGAGGAAGGATGGTGCCTCCCACACAGACTCCAAGGTAGGCAGAGGTGCCCGCTCACGGCAGGGTGACAGGGTCCCCGGGCTCCTGACATACCCAGTCCACCCTGAGACACAGCCAGCCAGTGGGTGTCACCCCGCCCTCAGCGCCCAGTGGCTGGCGGCCAGCTCGTCAGGGGCAGCGTCTGCGCCGTCTGGAGGGCCCTCTGTGCCCGTCCTCTGCCTGTCTTCCTGGCGCCCTTGCCCTGGAGTGGAGTGGCCTCCATCGGGTGTCCCTCGCCTGCCTGAGGGCCAGCAGCAGGGGTCGGGGGCAGGCGCTCCTGCAGCGACATCTCTGCTCAGGGCTGTCTTAGTGGAAGTGGCCGCCTGCCAGGGGCGGCGGGAAGGGACAGGAAGTGCTTTCCACGGACAGGGAGGACCTCCCAGCCCTCGGCTGCATCGGTGCCAACTTCCAACTTCCGTCCCTGGCGGCTGCTGCTGAGAGCAGGCGGGGCTGCAGCAGCCTCAGGGGGCCACGCCCTCGATACCAGCAGGTCCTGGGGTCCAGTCCAAGGACACAGCAGAGGAAAGGGGTGCTGCCTCCATCCGTCCATCCCACGCTGGGTGGTGGGAGCTGTGCTACATAGAAATAGGTCCCCCCATGTCTGGAAGCTGAAGGAACTCAGCCACGTGGCACAGTCAGAGGTGGGGCAGGTGAGGGGACGTGTCATTTCTGGTCCCATCACTGCGGAGCCGGTGCTGAGTGTCCGAGCAGGACTTCCTGCCTGCAGCCCCGCCCGGCGCCGCACCAGCTGCCCGGGCCGTCCACTCCACCCAGGCCACGCTCCCGAGCCCTTGGTGATGGGTGAGACCCCGCAGGTGCCCCCGCATAGCACAGCGAGTGAGGCCCCATGAAGCCCTGCCCAGGTCACACTCAGTCTCCTCTGCTCCTGTAGGTGCCGCCCCAGGAGCCCGTGCCCACAGCCTCGCCCCGGATGCCGCTGCCCCCGCCCTGTGCACAGGCCCCGGGCGCGGGCACGCCGCTGTCCTCGCAGCACCAGCTGCAGCTCCTGCACCAGCTCCTCCAGCAGCAGCAGCAGCAGACGCAAGTGGCCGTGGCCCAGGTCCTGCTCAGCCTCCTCCCCGCCGCCCGGCTCCGCACGCACAGGCTGGATGTGCCCCCCCACGAGGGCCCAGGGCAGGTTTAAAGTCAGAGCCTGTGGATCGCTCGGCCGGACCCATGCTTTTGGGGCTGGGGGCGGGTGGGGGGTAGGGCGCAGGGGCAGTGGTTTCTGTGTGTCCCGCTGAGCTGGGCTTGGCTGCTTGGCTGGATGTGGGAGGTGGGGGAGGTGAGTTGAGGTGACTGGGGAGGCAGGTGCTCCAGCCCCTCCGCTCCGCCTTGCTCATTGCTAGGGGTGGGAGGTGGCTTTGCAGTTAGGCCGTGACCTGAGGCCCCCTTCCAGGAGCTTAGTGTGAATTTGTGCCAGACGCCTTGGCAGAGACCTGCCCTGCGTCCAGCGCTTGTCCACGCGGTCCCCATGCCTCCGTCAGCGCCCCAGGTGTCCCAGTGGGTCTGGCACCCAACGGGCCCGGAGGTCACGCTGGTGGGAGCTCAGCTGTAGTGTCAGTCACAGCGTGAGGAGCTGGCTGAGGTCTGCAAGCAGAGTTGGTGGAGCCCGGAGGCTTGCCGGGGGCCGCTGGCTTGCAGAGGAGGGGAGCGAGTCCCCGTCGCTTCCTGCTTCCTCTGCTGAGGGAGCCCTCCGGCGTCCACATGGCCCTGGGTGGCCAGGAGTGGTGGGACGAGACCACTCATCCCTTTAAGGCCGACTGACTGCGAGGTTGAGCCCTGCAGTGAGGAGGGCGGAGGTGGTGGGAGCGTCCTGGGGCTGGAGGTGGGCTTGCTGTGCGCTGAGGGGCACGTGTGAGCCCGCGGCCCGGCGGGCGCATCCCCCAGACGGCGTGCAGGAGGCACCGGCAGCCTGGCCACACCGGGCGGCCTCAGCTGGGCCTGAGAGGACCTGTGGCACAGGCCCCGGGCGCCTTTGGCAGCCAGGCTTTGAGACGGGCATCAGCGGGCATGGCTCCCACGTGGTGTGGCCTGAAACGCCCACAGGAAGGAAGAGACTGCTGCCCAGGCTCGGGGTCGTGGGTGCGTAGACCAGGGCCACGCGTGCAGCCGGGGAACACACTGCCGCTGTCGGCGACAGAAGCCTTCGCTGGGAGTGCCGCGTGCTGACGGCAGCACAAAGCCTGGGCTCGGCCGCCCACCGCTCACCCTTCCCAGAAGTTCCGGCGAACACGAATCATTCAGCCTATCAGTTGCCAAGTAATTATTATTTATCCACGAGTGGGCGTGGGCGCGTTCCCGTCATGGCCTCAGAGATGCGCCCGAATCCGCAGTCACTGCTGAGGCCAACGAGGAGCCATTTCAAATGCACCATCTCCACAGCCGTGTGCACAGTGTCCGTGGGCACAGCCCACAGCCTGTGGCTTCCCACGGCTCACTGCCACCAGGACGCACCCCGCGTGCCAGCGAGGCCTCACCGCCGTCCTCTCCTCCGACGCTGGGCCTGGCCCACCTTCCGCTGCAGTCCTCCGCCCCTTTCTTCACCTGGGAGAGCATCTCCAGGGCTCTGCCCGGGCCCGGCTTTGGGTAAAGCTATGGTGTAAGGCACGTGGGTTAATAGACGGGCCTCCTGGCATCTCCCACACCTTCAAGCAGATGGACCCGCTGTGCGGGGTCTGCACCGGCAGCCCGCTCGGCCGACACTGCTGCCACCACGCTGGGGTCTTGTCATTGAGGGCCAGCGGTCCCAGGGCCGAGGAGGGTGTGCCGTGGCCGCCCACTTCAGATGGGCACATCTGGGCCTCCACGAGACCCTGAAGAGCCTGCGATAAAGACAGTTTCTTGCAAACACCTGCCCCCTGCCGGGGGGGGGGCTTGTTGCTATTTACACCCCCACCCACTTACCATCAAGGCGAGCCCATCTCTGCTCTTGTCATTGGCAAGACTCAGTCTCAGACCTCAGCCTCCGCCACTCCTGAATTGGCTCTGTGCTGGTTCAGACGGCTGCCTGGCCTTGAGGCACTGGGCAAAGGGTGCGTGCCCTGTCACCTTTCCAGGTTAGACCTCCGTCCCTCATGGACACAAGCCCCTCTGCCCACCTTCCCCACCCAGCATGAGGCTCGCCTGGCTGCCCTAGCTCCTGCTTCTCGATGTGCCAGTCAGGCAAGGCTGTGCACCGGGGATGGGGGGTGGGGGGGAAACCTGCATGGCCGCGGGTTGGGCCCACCTGCTCCCGGTGCTCTGGCCTGGCTGCCTGGCTGCAGTGGCGTCAGCCGCCTCCTTCCCGGTGGCTGGCTCCTGGTGAACTCATGAGGAGAAGGTTATTCTACTCAGTGTTGCTGCCTAAGACCTGCCCCCACCCGCACCCTGCGCTTGATGGGACCAGTGTGGTCCCGAGGCTCCGTGATGGCCTGCGCTGTAGTGAGTTAGAGAAATGGCGCTCAGCCACTCTGCACCGGCCTGTGGTAGCGTCTGTGCGTGGCTGCCCCCGTCCCAGCGCCCGTGCCCGGCCCCCTTGCATGCTGAGACGCCGGCCTCTGCCTGTGTGTCTGGGGTGGGGGCCAACAGCCATTCCCAGGCCTGTGCTCCCCGACTCCAGCCTGGCCCTGCCCCACTTCTGATGGAGGAGCTGGAGTCCAGGCAAGTGGGCAGTGGTCTGGCGCTGGGCGGGCTGAGGGTGGGAGCCAGTTTTGGGAGCAGCACAGAGGGAGGCCGAGCCCAGAGCTGGGCTGCATCAGGGACCTGCCCGGTGGTCTGTGCCAGAACCGTTGTCACCGGAGGCCCGCGGCCCAGCCAGGAGACGCGCGTGTCTGTACCAGGGCTCAGCATTCTGACAGGAAAGGGCTGGATGCAGTGCAGGGCGGGACGTGGGGACCGAGCACACTCCGTGGATGTTCAAGGCCCATCGGCCCGCCGGGTCGGAGCGCGGGCCCCAGCGGCGGTGGCTGGAGCCTGTCCCCGTGTGCGGGCGGGCAGCGGCTCCGCACTGGTTCCAGATGGGCAGCCTCACGTTCTTGCTCCAGGGTGGCGACACCTGGGTGTCCCCGTGTTTGCAGAGCGCCGTGCTCACTCCACCTCGTGCAGCTGTGCCCCGCCGGAGCTTGGCCACCTGCAGAGGAAGCTGCTCCCCCCCCCCCCCCCCCCCCCGTGCACCACATCCACCTGGGGGTGGGGTCATAGGTCTTCTGAGCCGCTAGGCAGCCCTGGGCTGGGAGATGGAGACAGTGAGGTGCAGGGAGAAGTGAGTCGCCTGCGGGAGCAGAGGGAGCCACGCGGGCCGCTGCAGGCCGGCTCTCCGGCTGGGATGTCCAGGTGCAGGAGCCCCCAGGTGCGGGCTGAGTGTGCAGAATCATCTGCTCTGTGCACTGAAAGTTGAGTCTCACATTTCTGTTTTGTCCTGAAGAGCCTAGAAACTGTCTGCTCAGCAGGCTCCTCTCAGCGACATGCCAGGCAGTAAGCCACTTGCAGGTGGAGTCCTCCTGTCCCTCCCACAGCCCCGTCCTGTTCCTCAGGACCAGCAGGTTTGGGGACTCGGGTGAAATATCTCTGTGCCTTGGTTTGCAAGGGAGATCAAGCCTCACAGGCCCCACCCGGCGCCTGCCCTGACCTCGGTTCACGGGCGTCAGCTGAGGCCTTGGGGTCGGCAGGTTTGCTTCAGAGGCCCCAGGCCTCCCCACTTCCCCCGGCCCCTCCTAGGAGCCATGAATGGAAAGTGGCTGCTGATCTCCTTAGTGGCTCCACTTAGAAGCAAGGTCAACCGCAAGGTCATGGCTGAAATCTGCAAGAGGGAGGCGGCCGCCCACTCAGAGGGGGTCTGCGTGCTGCTCTGGGGACAGGCTGTGGCTGCTGGGCCCTCGTTCAGATTGGCCAATGGGGTTGGGGCCGGGCGAGGGGCGGGGGGCTGCCGTTTTTACTTTTGGAGAAACGTGGGTTTTTCTGGCTTAAACTTCTCTTCAGAAATGCAGAGCCTTCCCGCCAGCTCCTCCGACACCTTCCCACTGCCCTCCCGCCCCCGCCCCCGCCCCCCCCCCCGTGTGGGTCTTTCTCTGCACCTTGGCCACGGCTGCCACGTTCACGTCACCCCCACAGCGACCCCTTAATGCCCTTCTAGGCACAAGGTCACCTGTGTGAGCATCTTCCTGCCTGGGCTCCATTTCCTCGGGCTCCTTCGTCTCAGTGTGTCCCACGGTGAGCTCTCCAGGAGCCGCCCGGGACACACAGGCAGCAGGCCCAGTCCGGGGGCCATAGACATAGAAAGGGATGGACGGTCAGGGGACGGAGCTGACACCACAGACATGAGGACAGACTTGGTGGGGGCCACCTCACAGTTTCGAAAGGACTGCAGGGGCTTCAGGTTCTCAGTGTTTGGGGGTGACTGCTGTGAGCTGCTTCTTGGAAACATCAGGATGACAAGCACAGGTGCCGCTTCGTCTGGGGTTGAATGTGGGGTCATGTCTGGTCCCTGCGAGCGCCCCGAGTTGGCATTCACGCCTGTCTTCTCCGCCCCCTCGTCTCTGCTTCCTGCTTCAGGTTCACTTGCTGAAGGACCAGCTGGCTGCGGAGGCAGCGGCGAGGCTGGAGGCGCAGGCCCGCGTGCACCAGCTCCTGCTGCAGAACAGGGACGCCCTGCAGCACGTGTCCCTGCTGGTCAGGCAGGTACAGGAGCTGGAGCTGAAGCTGTCGGGACGGAGCACCAGTAAGTCAGGGCCCATCTGCGGGCCCCTCGCTGCCCTGGGGTGGGGGTGGGGGGCCGTGCCACAAGTTCTTCCCCAGAAGCTCTTGGTGGTGCCGACCTGCTTGGCATTCCAGCCGAAACCCAAGGGTTTCGGGGTCCACCCGGGGAACCTGCACACCAGGACCCGACGGGTCTCAGCTGCTCCCAGCCCAGGCCCAGGCTGCCCGTCACCATCACCAGCCGGGTCCCCAGCTTCCCTGGGCCCTCGGCTCGCCACCAGGCTTCCCCCCGACACACCGCGACACACGCTCGTGGCCAGGCCTGGCGGGTGTGGCTTGCTGGTCTACCTGGGCTTTCCCTCACAAGCACAGAGAGCAGGAGGGCTCTCCCACAGGAGGTGGAGGCGCTGCTGCCGGTGCTGTGCTGCTGGATGGCGGTGCCTGGCGCCTGGCCTCTGTGCCCAACTGTCTCCTGGCCAGATCGGGAGGTGCAGCTCCACGCTGCCCTTGAGCCTCTGGGGCTGACGGTATCCAACTCAGAGATGAGGAGGTGCTGGCAGGTTGAGGACAAGAGGCGTAGAGCCAGGGTCAAACCGAGACTAATTACAAAACTAGTGCTTTTCCTGTGGCCCCAGTAGCTCCCCTGACGATCGCCTGGCTTCTCTAAAACACACCTTCCCAGGCCGCCGGAGATGGGGCCACAGGGGCTGCAGGGATGGCTCTGCTTGTACAGCCCAGGGCCCTGGACGGGCACCCCTGCACATCCCCGCCTGGAAGCCAAAAGATTTTATTTGTGTCCCTTGAGCCCTCCCCACGGTGGTTAGTCTGATCCCAGGCCACCCCGAGGGTCACCATGTCCTGCTGCCAGACTCCACCTGGACCTCATCCCCCACAAACCCCACCCGTCCGGGGTCCTGTACCCCCTCATCCCCCCCCGTCACCTACCCCCACCTGCACCCATCCCAGGGCTCCCCCCCTGCAGCCTGGCGTTGGCTGTGGGGTGGGTCGGGCTGAGGACCGTGCCCTGACCCTCACCCTCTGTCCGCAGTGGGGTCCCAGGACAGCCTGCTGGAGATCACCTTCCGCCCCGGAGCCCTGCCCGTGCTCTGCGACCCCACGACCCCCACTCCGGAGGACCTGCCTTCGCCACCCCTGGGCGCCGGCCCGGCCCTGCCTGCAGGCAGCCCCTTAGGTAGGCGCGACTGCTTGGTGAAGCTGGAGTGCTTCCGGCTCCCCGGGGCGCGGGGCCCTCCGCTGGGCGGCCTGGAGCTGCTCCGCTTCCGGGAGTCGGGCATCGCCTCCGAGTACGAGTCCACCACGGACGAGAGCGAGGAGGAGCCGCCGCGCCTGCTGCACGTGCGGCAGCGCCGGGAGCCGGGCGACAGCCTGGAGGACACGGTCGCCGTGTAGGGAGGCGGTGGGCCCGGGTCCGTAGCCGGGTGTGTTCTGTTTCAGAGCACTGGGTTTTGCTCCAGAGGGTGAAGTGGAAGCCATTGGAGTCCCCGAGGGGATCGACTACCCTCCCAGGCAGCAGCCGGAGGGCCGCCGGCCGTGCAGAGTCATGGCTTTGGGACGGTCCCCGAGGGCCCGCTGGCTCCTCGCCGTGTCTGTGAGGCCCGAGCCACGAGCTGCCCTCCACGTGGTCCGACGGGAGGGAGGCGCGCACCCCAGGGCCGTGTGTCTGGGCGCCAGGGCTGCCGCTGCCTCACCCGCCTCCAGGAGCAGGTCCCCTGCCGGTGGTGGTGGCTGAGCTTGGGAGTGACAGACAGGAGAGTCAGGGGACCTGCTCCCGGACGTTCTCTGCACCAGCGTGAGTGTTTCCTGGGAGACAGCCTGGCCTTGGTCAGGCCCTGCTGTGGGGGTGGGGACTGCCTCTGCTGCCACATCACCCTTCCCACGCCCCCCGCGAGTGAGCCGTCCACCTGAGGTAGAGGCTGTCCCCTGTCCTCTGTGTCCCCCAATGAACCCTCGCCCCACCCCTCTGCTGGTCCCTCCACGGGGCAGTGGTGGTCGGTTCTTACTGCAAAATACCCACCGAAGGCTGGTAGCTGACCTGCTATGTCCAGGGTCCGGAATCACTGCCACTTATCAAGACCCAGCCACGGCCCTGCCTAGGCTCCGTGGGCTGGGCCTCGAGCACACCTGCGCAGTCCTCTCACCTGAGCCACCTGGGCCTCGCCCACGCGAGACTGCTGGCGGCCGGGCAGTGGGACGGGCTCCTGTGCTGCCCGAGGGTCGGTCAGTCAGAGGGGGTCCTGAACCCTGACATGTCGGAGGCGGCCGGACCATCCAGGCGAGATGCAGCGGTCAGCCTGTGGGGCACCACGCATCGGCAGGACGTGTGTGTGTGTGCACGTGTGTGTGCGTGTGCGTGTGTGCACGTGTGGGAGGGAAGGGGCGCGTGTCAGCGTGTGAGAGTGACGGACAGGAAAGGACAGATGTCCAGTGTGTGCACCAGTCGAGAGGGAGGCCTGTGTGTTTGCTTCTTCTTCCAGTTCACCACTGGAGGTGGGGGCGGACCTCGAGGGAGGGAGGGAGCAGGGATATGAGACCTGGCACCCGAGGGAGGACATGGGCCACGGGGGCTCCGGAGCGGGTCGCCTTCTGTCCCAGAGCTGAGCTCGGGGCAGGCCTGGCTCTGAGGCCAGGGGCGGGGTGACGAGGTGGCCGTTGGACGTGATGGGTAAGGAGGGGACAGTTTGTAAGAGGGCCCTGAGGAGCCGTGGAGGGGACAGCATTGGGGACACGGCTCCCTGGCTGCTGCTGGACCCCCGACCCCCGGCCCTCCGAGTGCCCCTGGGACCCGAGGCCGCCGCCCCGCCCTCCCCAGGACGAGGAGGCAGCACCGGGTGGAGCTGGGACTTGGGCGATTGAGGGCCGGCCCTGTCCTCCTCCCGCCCTGCCTCTTGCTCTGAGCCCAGCCTGCTCTCCATCCTGCTCTGCCCCGCGTGGAGGACGAGTGGACATGGGCGCAGGCCTTGGGGTCCAACCCACGAGGCCTGCGGTGCGGACAGACGGACAGCACCTCCTCGCGGGGCCCCGCGCAGCCCTCGCCGCCTGCTTCTCTCCGCTGCCCCTGTGCGGGGCTCTCTTGCCCACTCTGCCTGGCTCCTCCCCCCACGGCTGTGCGGGTGGCCGGCCCACGCTCCAGACGCTTCCTTGTGTAAGTGCACTTACTCCGGGGCCGCCTTGCGCCTGCCGGCTCCGCAAATAAACCTTCTTCTTTCTCAACGCTCTCCTGCGTCCTCTTGCTCTGCTCCCCCTGCCCTGGCCCGTGACGCTCCCCGGCTGAGGTTCGAGGGAGAATTCACGTGGCTCGCGGTGGTGTGGACACGGACGACCTGCAGGCTCGCGTAGGGACAGCTTTGCTTCCCGGGGGGACCCGTGTCCCCGCCGGGCATGTCTGTCAGGAGGGAGGGGTGTTGGCAGGTGGTGGGTGGAGCCGTGCCCACAGGTGTCTCACCTTTTCTGCCTCAGCGTGGCGTGGAGGCAGCAGCCAGTTTGAGTGCTTGGGGAAGCATGGCGTCAGCTGTTCGGGGGTAAAGCTAAGACCACCAGGCGCCAGGAGCCCGCTGGGTCCCTGAGTAGATTTCCGTGTGGGGTCGGGCGGGGTCGGAGTGGGTGCACCTTAGAGAGTCTGCTCCAGGGCACGCAGGCTGGCTGCCCAGCCAAGGACTGTGGAGGGCAGGCGGGAAGGGACAGCGGCCGGCGAGTCAGCAGCCGGAGAAGCCAGACTTTGGTCGGCACTTTCAGCCACTTGGAAGGCAGAGGCTGGTGGGGGCGACGTTGTGGGGCCCAGGCCTGCAGGGAAGTCAGGGGCTCAGGGCGGCCGGTGGCCTGTGAGTGGGGATCAGGCGCACTGCGTGGCGCGATGTGAGGAATGGGGAGGCTTCACTGAGACGCCCTGCAGAGCGGAGCGGAGCAGCCGCTGGGGCTTGCTGGGAACACTCTCCGCCTCCCAGGTCCCAGGGAGGCCACACAATGCGACAGCAGCGAGCACCTGTCCTTAGGGTGAAACCCTGGACTTGGCACCTGCTGGACAGCGGGGGGAGGTGCCATGGCCCTGGGCTTCCTTCTTTTACCACACACTCTGCCTGTGACTAGGGTGCGGGGGGGTGGGGGGCGGGGAGGGCGTGATCTGGGCTGGCAGAGGACACAAGAGGGGTGGCAGCCATATCTCTCCCGGCTCCCACAGACCTGGGTGAGGCCCGGAGCAGCCTCCCTACCCGCCCCGCCCCCCCACACCCTCCCTCCAGGGCCTGTTGAGGGGTCATGGTGAGCAGCGAGGGTTCAGGGGGCTTTTCCATCCTGGGCACCGGAGGGCAGAGTGAGCACAGAGCCACTCGTCTGCCCCCAGGCGACCAGGTCCAGGGCAAGGTCAGGGCTACCTGGGACCACCAGCCCCAGAGTGGACAGGCCAGGGCCCGGCTGGAGCTGCAGGTCAAGGTGACTTCAGGCCGCTGGTTGGATGGGGGGAGGGTGGGCAGAGGAGCAGGCATGGGTATGGGGCTGGGACTGGGGATGCGGGCCCAGCTTTGCAGAAGGGAACCACGATGGTGACAGCAGGAGCGTGGTCAGCTTCCGGGGGCCTCCCGAGGACCTGCGGGGAGGCAGGACTGGGGTGGGTCTCACCCTCAGGCAGCCTCACAGACACCGAGGCCCTTCCCTGAAAAGTCCCCAGGGGCTGGCAGCACGGGTCTGGGCACCTCACTGAGAACTGCCATCTTGGCGGCTCTCCCCGAACCTTCTGTGGTGTCGAGATGGGGTGTGGGCCTGGGGTTGCTAGCTAACTGGTCGCCAAAGGGGATGGAACATGGATGGGACTGGACGGACAGCGGGCGGTGCCGGTGACGGAGACGACATGGAGCTGTGCTAACGGGTTTATTGGCCTCTCCCTGGAGAGCAATGAGGCTCTGCTGCCGACCGAGCCGCCCGGCTACTTGCGGGACTGGCCGCCGCCCAAAGGCAGCCTGTCTGCGGGCCGGGCCCAGAGCGCCTTGAGCTTTCGGTAGAAGACGCGGCAGCTGAAGCCCTCCCTGAAGCCGCACTTGATGTGGCTCTTGAGGGAGCACAGGGTGGGGTACATGCGGCAGCAGGCCGCGCACTTGAAGCCGGTCTGCTGGGCCGGGAGCCCCCGGGAGGCCCTCAGGATGTCCTGGGAGCTGATGTGGTCGGCGTCCCCATGCCGGGCCTTGGCCTCGCGGGGGCCGGGGTTCTCGGGGGAGGAAGAGGACGAGCGCAGGCTGTCGGCCGTGTCCTCCAGGAGGCAGCTGTCGCCCCGGCCCTCGTCCCGCGGCAGCTCGGGGAAGCCGTGGGCCTCCCGGGGGCTCTCCTTGTCCACGCACACGAAGTAGCTGTAAGGGGAGAACCACGGCCGGTAGATGGTGCAGCTCCGCCTCGGCTGCTCCCCATTCTGGGGGTCCCCCAGCATGCAATCTGCAAAGGAAAGGGCCGGGTCTGAGCCTGGGCGCGGGCGGAGGCGTGGGCAGCAGCAGGCGGGCGGGGGCCTCCCCATCTCCTGCTGGGAAGGTCGGTGTGATCGGTGGGTGGAGGCCCCCATCACCGCCCTGGCAGCTCCCAGGTGCTCCTCTAGGGACAGACAGATGGACGGCGCAGCAGCCAGCCCTGGACCTCCAAAGGCCCTTGTCTGCTACCAGGATGTGACCATCGCTCCCATCGCAGGTCCCTGCCACAGCCCAGCAGGCAGCCCTGGGAAGTGAGAGAGGAGAGGCCGGAGGCCTGCGCAGCCTGGGTCTCTGGGAGGGAAGACCAGAGAGGAGGCTGCCTGGGGAAGGCAGCACCTGACACCTGTCCCAGGGGCAGCCCCGGACCTTCTCCCACACCTGTGCCAGGGGGCTCACCTGGTGAGAGCACCACCCCTTGCCGCAGAGCGCTGCTCGGGTGCTGGGGCAGCGGGGCCTGCGCTGGGCTGGGTGCCTCCGTGGGGAACGTGGTCTTGGCAATGTCTGGGGGCAGAGGAGATGCTCTTGGAACTGAGCGAGGGTGGGAGTCCTCCTGGACCCACCAAGACATACCGCCAGGCCCCCCTCGGTGCGTCGGCACCAAGCGGCAGTGAAACAGTGGCCTCTCCTGCCCCCGCGAGGGTCTGGCCACGGTCCGTGTGGCTGTGACGTGGCCCCTCCTGAGGACAGGAGGAGAAGACTTCTCCTATGGAAACATCTCCCCCCACAGCAGGGTGCAGGGGACCCGCTGCCATCACCTGGGGGCGCTGGGGCTTGGATCAGAAGCTCCCAGGACAGTGGCCCCACTCGGTCTAGCCAGGTGTCTCCTGAGCTGGGGCCGCAGGTGTGGGGAGCGTGCCCCTGTGCAGGTCCTGTAGCACGACCTGGTAGAACCTCCCACTAAAGGCCTCAAACCCTGCATTTCTGTGGCCATCCTGGCAGGACCAACCTGGCAAGCTGGGGCCCCGTGGGGACATGAGGTCAGGAAAGGTGTTCAGGGCTGAGGAGGAGACCCGGGGCCCCGAGATGCTGAGGAGTGAGAAGCTCTCCATACTCGGACTGTTGCCGGGCACGCGGTCACACGCCTGCCCCAGGGGGCTCCGGGGTTGTCCGGGCGACCAGCATTCTGAGCACAGGTGACCTCACAAGTAGGTCCCAGCATTTCACCTCGGCCGGCTCACCCTCATGGTCTGTGGCAAGAAAGACTAACCTTTGTAGCGACGTGCCACCTGTGGCTCCTCGCAGCCGCCATGATGGAGGGGCCCGGCGCGAGGGGCACGCTGGCCACCCGGCTCCTTCATTACGTTTGTGTCACTGTCGCCCCAGCTCTGGGAACCTGTCCTCTGAGATCCTCCCTGCTCTTCTCCATCACCTGCTCGACCTCAGCCCGACCTCTGTCAGTGGTGTTCTGTCATTTTAGTTTCTGGGTTTTTCCCCCAGTTTGGGTACATTTTTTCCATGTTCTTTGGAAATAATTCCAAACTTATAAAAAGTTGCAAAAATAAAATTAGTACAAAGAACATGCATAGGCCCTGTCCCCAGATTCTCCTAACACTACCGTTTCCCCCGTTCTATGGGCCCCTCCCTCCCTCTGTGCAGGGCTCGCTCTTTCCTGAGCTGCTGGAAGGCCGCTCACCCACACAAAGCCGCTTTGTGCTCTAATACTTCAGTGCCGTCTCCTAGGGGAGGGGGGGTGGTTAAGTGGGGGTGCTGTCTGCTTCAGCAAACGGCCGGCTTGCTCCACACTACTCACTGCCAGCAGCCTGGCCCGCGGGGGCCGTGGAGGGTGAGGGGACAGGGCCTCGTGCAGGTCAGCTGGAGGCACCCCTTCTAGACCGTTGTGAAGGGTGGCAACTCGGTGCTTAGCCCCTGGCACGTACCGCGCTTTAGATCTCAAATGGGCACATTTGTGCCAAGGACGCGCCCCCGCTCTGGGCTGCCGTCCCGTCTGTGGTCATGCTCGGGACCGACTGTCTGCAGGACGGTGCGCTTCAGTGAGCCTCACCAGGGCCTGGGAACTGGTGGGCTGGGAGCTGGTGCCGGCACCTGGGCCAGCCTGTCATCTCACTCCACCCTCAGCCCCGTGTGGCACCTGCCCTGGCTCCCTGGCCCCTGTGTTAATTCAGACAGTTGGCATAGACGACCCTCCTAGTCTGGAATCTAGCGATTTGCGTGTGGAAAAGAGACGGCCCAGTACTGAGTGCTGCGCACGTGGCCATAGGACGTGGCGGTTGATCTGCCGCCGTGGCTGGGAGCTCAGACGCTGGTGTGAAGCAGCTGTGGGGCGGGCCCAGCGCCTGCTGCTCGGGTGGTTGAACACGGCTGTTCTGTTTAGTTGTTGAAAAGCTGACGGGGAGCTGGCCCCAAGGTCTGTGGTAGCTGCGGGGCCTCAGTCTCCTACCTCTGCCTGGGGGTGGCCCTGCTGGAGGCCCAGGCAGGAGGGCACGCACATGTGGTCCGTTTGCATAAACTGTCTCTCTCTTGTTTGCTCCCCACCTGCTTTCTGAGCCCTTTCTCGGTCGCACAGGTAAGAGACCGTCTTTCTTATGAATCACTGTCCCCAGACGCAGTGTGCATGTCGGGGTGTTGGGAGGGCCATGGGGTCCCCTCGTCACCGTTGTCTGAACCACCAGCCTCTGCGAGGGTGGGGCGGAGTGGGGTCATCAGTGAGCCAGCCCCCGTTGGGGAGAAGGGCGGCCTTTCCCGCGGGACCCCAGGGCCCTCAGACATCCCCGGAGGAGCAGGCTGTGTGCATTGGAAGAGGCTGGGCACAGCTTCTGCACGTTTCTCAGCCCACGGTGTAGCAGTTTTTAAGTGTCATGTGAAAACTCCACTGGGTGACACCAACTTACCAAATGCCGGCTGTGCCAGGGCCTGTGCCGGGCTTCACGGAAGTAAAACCACACAAGGAGCCCGTCCCCTGAGGAGGCAGCCTGTCGTCTTGGGGACACGGTCAGCGGGCAGGCTCAGGGCTGTGCCGAGGGCCTGAGGGGCTTTCAGTTCCTTGAGGGCTCGTAGCACATTCGGAGAGGAGCGAGGGAGAGCACAGGCAGGCCAGTGGCGCCTGGGCAAGGTTACTTCATGTTCATTAGAAAGTGTTTTTGAAAGAGTAGCAGCAGGGGCCCACAGCCGGCAGAGCGCTGCCGTGCTTTCAGCCCTGCTGGCTGCTCGGCACCGTAAGCCAGCGGGCGGTCCGGAGCCAGAGGGGCTCGCCCTCCCACTCTGGTCCAGACACCTCCTGATTTGGTGGAAACCGTCAAATGCCTTAGTCTCCCAGGCCTTCGCTGCTGGTTTGCAGATTTCATGATTACAGAAAATGCACGGGATGTGGGACGTGATCGGCAAATGACGCAGAAAACAAGCCACCTCCTCAGGAGGCCTGGAGGTGGAGGCCCTGTTTGGGCTGAGCTGGGAGCTCCTGCCAGGGGGTCTCCACCCCACGCCCCCAGGGACACCCTCCGTGAGTCCCCACAAGTCCCCACAGGGGTGCTTTTCCTGCACAGCGGTCAGGGGACATTTCAGAGGTCAAGACCGGTCCCTCGTGGAGGGAGGTCTCCACACCTCTTCCCACAGGCGCCTCCTGCCGCCCAAAGACCTTTAAAATGCGGCTTCCCAGGTCACTGGTCAGGAGGGATT